TTTGCCAACCTATCTATATTAATAATACAAATGCATACCTTTGCATTCTTGAAAACCCAACTGACAAAAAATCATAGGGATAAATCTCTTTAGCCCACTTTTCTGAAATCTTACTAACATTTTCCTCAACCTCAATTTGCGACAAAAGTATCTCTTCTTCTTAAGTTAAAGCTACCACTTTATTTTGAAACAAATTTTCATTTTCTTTTGACAGCAAATCTTCTACTTCTCTTGGAGGCAAACTTCTTTTAAAACCTCTCTTTAAATATGCTCTAAAATAACTTCGTCAACTCATTCTACTTGAAGTATAAACCAACTCTAAACACAAAACTTTAAATATATATACCGTACAACACAAAATTCTCTGACAACTAACACATAGTTAAATTAAGCAATCTGATTGGTAGATCTTATCCAAAACAAATATTTAAAAAACGTACAAAAATGATTTTTATTATTCTGATGGTTGTAGTACAGTGGTTAGGGCGTATTGCACTGCAGGGCTGTACGTTCAAACCTTCTGGTAGTATGTTAGGCCCGGTGCACCGAGGTAGCATTACCTACTACAATTTGGACATACCTTTTTATTTCTCCTCTCACTTTAATTATTATTTATATAGTTTTTCCTTTTAACTTTTTATATACTATAGCTTAAATATATAACACTGCAGGGTTACAAATTCATTTTTTTTTCTTTCTTCTTCTCTTACTATTTTTATTTTTATTTTTATTTTTTTTTCTCTAACTTCAACTATTATTATTATTATTTACTTCTTTTACAATATTTCTTTAGCCCTATTAAAACTATTTCAATCTAAATATATATATACCTTACTATTTTATATTAAACAAGGTTTTCTCCCAGCCTTTCTTTAGCTAATAGTAGTCTCGTTAACTTAAAATAGAAAATTGGAAGTGTAATGTCACATCAAATTAGATGTTTATAGAAAATCTATCTGATTAACTATTATGTATTCATGTGATACTTTATAAAAGTTATTCGCTTTTCTATATATGACATTAACATTAATAAAAAAAAATAATAATTTGACTCAAGCTGTGTAAAGAGAGTCTTAGAGTTTAGTTTTTAATTTAGAATTTTCAAATTAATTCAGCCCTTTAGGAGAACATTAAAAATTTTTTGAAAACACTAATAATATAAATTAAGCTCTTTAGAGAACATAATTTTAAATTTGAATTTTAAACACTGATAGTAAGTGGATTTTAGCATGCTTTTTTTAAAAATTAAAACCTCAAATTTTAGGCCATTCTGAAACCCATTTTCCCGAAAGAACATAATACCGACTAGATTGGTCAGCATTATAACTAATGCTGGCTAACGTTGCCGGTATTAGGTCCTTTCGTCTGTCTTTCGGGATTTTGTGGTAAAAACATTTGACACTATATATATATAAATATATATGAGTGATGAAAAGGGAAAACCTGTAAACCATTTCACTCATTATCATTGTTGTGATATCTATCCCTATAAGAATTAGGAGTACATATCACTGCGATGATACTGAATGAAATGATTTACAGGTTTTCCCTTTTCGTCACTCATATATAGTTTGGATTAAAAGATAAAAGTATATATATCAGTATATAATGGTAAATGACCCGGTCGTTTGAAATTTTCAAATGATCTCAAATGACACCGAAATGACGGGTCATTATCGGTCATCTCAATTTTGGAAATGACTCGAGACCAAATGACCATGGATGACCGGGTCATTTAGTTTATAGGTTTTGAAATAGGCTGGGTTAGGCAAGATATTTGTATACTCGGGCCCAAGCTCAATAAAAATTTTCAAATCATGACAAGATCATTTGAGTCATTAGGTTCATTTAGGTATTTGCATATAAAATAAATTTATTGGTAGAATTGCTCATATAAAAAGTTATCAAACTTTATTATATTCCAATCTATAATTGTAGCTATACACGTATTAAAGTCAAAATCTTACTAAATCAATTGATATTTATAAATTGAAAAGCTTTTTATTAATTTCGTATAAATGTAAAATGCAGAAGTGAATTTATAAAAATTCTTCAGTTTACATGAAAATTTCAATTTATTATTTCGGACAACTTAAGATATAAATATTAATTGACTTGGTAAAATTTTTGACTTTAATATATATCTACGATTATCGATTATATTTTAATTTTGTTTGGCGACAAATTCTGATTAGCCAAAGGAGGACCCCGGATAATACTATAGAGGTACGGGTTGAGTTAATAGTAAATTTTTAGGCTTTTTTTTACCCAAACTTTTTTAAATTCTGCCCAAAACTAAAATTAAAATTTAATTTCACCAGAATTTAGAAAATATTGGGCCAAAAAATGTTCAAATTTAATAATAACATGTCCAAGTTTAGCACTCTTACCCTTTTTGTCCTGCCAAAGGGCAACCAACATGTGTTAAATGACCTAAGTCATTTGGGTCATTTACCATTACTGTATTATTTTATAATATAAACCGAAATACAGTAAATAGCTAAAAAAATAAAAAAAAATAAAATTAATGATATATAAAAAAATAAAGTTTTACTTATAATAAATGAATTTTTGATTGGTTAATAATTACGACTTAATTTAAAATAAATGTCCCGCATGTATCATTTTTATTGGATTTACTATTACTCACAATTACAAGACAAATTTAATTACATCTTATAAGTTAAAAAAAAATTAAACAAATCTTACAATATCTATTTAAAAAGATCCTCTAATATTGACAGAATAAGGCTTGAAAAAATTTTTACTATTTCTCATATTGTTGTTTCATTTATGCTATAAAATAGCAAAAAACATTTGTTAGTTTTATAGTGTACAGCATTAATGTTTGAATGTAAACTATTCAAAAATTTAAAAAAAATTTCTATATAGAACCCTCCTTATTTTATATGAAATAAGCATGCATATATATATTGTGATAGTTTTTAAATGAAAGTAAAAATGATTCTATATACAATAAATTCGCCAAATCCTATTTAGCGCCAAAGAACTTGTCCCATATTGATCCATTATAATCATCAATATCCTGATCTCTCATTGTATTTGGCTGTGATGTTGCTAAATGTTGCCGCAGGCGACTTTGTAAATTGTTATTGTCAGCCGACATTCTTAATTGTCTAGGTGTCGTAGTTGTTATTGGTGGTGGCACTGTTGTATGTTGTGGTTGAGATGTGTGCGCAGCCTCAGATCCAACATATTGAATAGTTGTCGAAGACGGAGATCTTATGGGTATTGTCGATATATCCAATGAATTACGAATGTGTCGATTATTGGATGGAATGTCTCGCTGATGTCCGTTAATACTACGACTAGCTAGTGCATTGCCATATTTCGTTTTTCCATTTTTGGCGTTTACTAAATTATCGGCTCTGTCGATCTTCTGATTCTTCTTTCCAGAAGTGCTGTTACCGACTCCTCCGAATAAAGAAATCACCCCACGTCTTACAATTGATCCAACCGATGAATCATTACTTTCTCTTCTTTTATAAACTCTTTGATTATCTGGCGATCTCAAATATGACTCCAAATTACGATCTATATAATAATTGTCCTCAGCAAAGGTATCGATACTACCAACAGAAACATCACGATCGTGTAAGAAGTCTACTGATCGTCGCCGGTTATGATGGCGTACAGGTGTTACGGATTGAGCTTCTTTTACTCCTCCAAAGACTCGACTAAGATATGCTCCAAAACCACCATCACTACTTTGACTAAGCGCTCTTTCCCTTCTCCTGATTCGTTCGTCATCTTTTCCACCTAAAACACTCTTACCAAATTCCTCTTCAGCTTTTCGGCGATTCTCATCTACTTTCTGCACATAAGATACCTGAACATCATTAATTATCATGCGTAATTTGCCTATTTCACCCAAAAGATCTTGTAAAAGATGCACCAATGGTAAGAAATGTTCAGGTGAAAACATAAAGGGATCCTTTTGACTTTTATAATTCTCTGAACCATTCAAATCATTAAAAGCCATTTTAGGATTTGTTTTCATTTCATCATTATTGCATAGTTCTTCTACCCATCTGAATCGTTCTCTGAAATTCTCAACATCACTCAGAATATTTTCAATCAAATTATTACTTAAATTAGTCAATTCCAAAATATCAAATGTTCTCTTTAATCTACGATTAAGGGCCATTAAATCTGTGCCTTTCATGCGATCCATAATATGGCTAGCAAGGTTAAATAACAATTGATAAGGATTTTGATTTTGAAGAGATTCAGAAAGCTGAGATTCGCGCTTAGATCCGTTAACATCATTGGTGATGAGCAATGGAGTTGAAGTAGAAGCTTGGCAAGAATGAGCAGATTTGGTACCAGAGACTGTTAATCCATTTTGAACTTCATGAGCAAAAGCAGCAGCTTCGGCAGCAGAAAGATTAGCCTCATCTACCAAAACACCTTCAACAAATACTTTGATTGGAGAATTGGGCATATCATTCCAAATTTTGCCTTTTATAGTGGCAGAATCGCTACCATTATTAGCAGTCGATTGATTTTCAATTTTTAAATTATTACCGAACCCATTATTTTCTATACTAGAGCCCTTTTGCTGTTGTTCTTTAGCAACATCAGCACGCCAAGCTTCCATCATAATTTTACGTTCCTTGGGTCCAAGAGTAGCAAACTTTGGATTTTTGAAAGCTGGTAAACTAGGTTTCGTTTGCAATCCTTTAGATTTTTGATCCACAGCAGGTGAATTAGAAGATTGAGGATCTTCGACCGCTACGGAAACACCTGAAGCATTACGACGATGAACAGCTAATGGAGATGACTGCGTTGGCTTGTGTTGTTGAGCTGAAGTTGTAGCTGTTGATGATTTGTTAAAACTGAGTCGTTTCGCAGAATTAGCTAATGGAGGTCTTCGATCTGCGTCTTTCTCAAAAGCTATCTTCGTTGGAGATTTTTCTCTCTCTTGTTCTTGCGCTTGATTGATCGTATTGGATTCTTCTGCAACCGACCTGAGGCCAACAGACAACAACGAAACATTTGATCTTTTCTCTGAAACATTATTGGCAATATCATCTCTCTAAATAATTATTAATTTTTTAGGATGCAAAAAAAAAAAAAAAAAAAAAAAATTAATAATAATAAATAATAATAATAATTAAGATTTGATAAACGATTATTATCGATTATTTTTGTAAGAGTACAGACCTCTTCATTGGGACCAGTATTATAACCTCGATCTGACGCACTGTCTTCACCCTCTGATCGGACGTATTTCTTTCCTGTAACCTCGGACTGAGCGATATTTTCATCATTAAATTGGTCTTCAATCTTTTCATCGAATTCGGGGATTGTTTTTCTATTTTTTCTCGAGCTACGCATGAATTTAGGTCCTTTTGATCTTGGTTTTTTAATGTATTTTTTCTCCAGCTCACCGAATAAATTCCCTTGTACAATATCATTATTCTCGGGATGATAGTAGTAGTGGTGATGGACGTGAAGGGGATTGGGATTTGAACTGGACAACATTGACGAAGAGACAACTGATCCTACAGGAGAATGGACAGAAGGATCAACGCCCAAGCTATTGAATGTGTTATATGAACCAGGACCAAACGAAGATGACAAAACAGGTGACATATGTGGATTAATTGATCGAGCGGCAGTACCAGGTATATTATTTGACGTATCTCCAATTTCATCCATAAACATGATAGTAGAACTAGGTTTATTTTCACCCGTTTCATAATTTGGTTGGAATGTTGACGCAGCATAACTACCGGGAGGAAGATAGCCTGCCACACGTGCTGTCTCAAGATCATCAATCTGACTTTGCAAACCGCCCACTTCATTACGAGATTCTGCGAGGAGATCACGATATTCACTAATTTCAGATTTTAGTTTATTGTTTGCCGATGAGAGTTCTTTAATAAGATTGATAAGATGAGAGTTGGCCTCGTTGTTAGGATTTGGTAGTGGCGACTAAGGAGAACAAAGTAACATGAATGATAAGCATTTAAATTTACCTGAATCATGAAATTATAAAAATGAAATTAGGAATAAATGGACTACGAACTTTTGATTCGCGAAGCATAGCTACTGCTTCTAATTTTCCTTTTGATTTTCGAGAACCTTTTTGTTCATTTTCCAACTTTTCATAATTAATGGTAAGTTGATCTAAATTCAAATAAAAAATAATAAAAAAAATAAAAATAATAATAATAATAATAATAATTACATTAACATTTTTATAGTTAATTATAAACTATTTATAAAAATTAAATTTTTGATAATTAACCATATTTTGTCTGTAATTTTTTTACTTTTGATTCTGCGGCAAACTCTGCTTTCCTAGAAAAATGAAGTTCTTGCTTTAAATCTTCCAACTGCCTACTTAACATTTCTTCTCTTTCTTCAATTCGTTCGCCCAGAAGGTTATGTGCCATAAGACGCTTAACTTCATTATCAAGTCTTTCGAGTTCATTTGTCAATTCGACAACTCTCTTATCACTAGACTCAAGTGCCTCTGTAAGTGCTTCACTTCTCTATTATCGAATAAAGATTTTCTGGTTGGTCACGTGATGGAACAAAAATAGTAAAATAGTAAAGATAGCATGCATATTAAATATGTCAGACAAAAAAAAAATTTTTTTTACATTTTCCAAAATATTTTTTTGTCTTGTAGCATCATCTTTTTCAATGGTTAAAGTTCGTTGTGAACTTTCAAATTCATGCATCAATTCTTCAAGTTCTGCGATTCTCTGCTGATATCGTGCACACTGCATGAACAATTTTGTAAAAATACATGAAAATTAATATTTACAGTATATAATATACTATATTAGCATATAGACATGAAAACATACCTCATTTATATCATATATAGTCTTACCATCTAGAGTGTTTGCTGTATTTATTAATTTCTTCTAGAGGCGATCTCAATGGATAATGAATTGTTTGTATTTATTTAATCAAAGAAATTGTAATACTTTTAGTTTAAGTTCAATATATAATATATATAATTAAATAAGGTAATAAAAAATAAAAACCTGATGTTCTAACTTCTGCTGGCATTCTTTTATTTCTTTTTGATAACCTTCTTGCTGATGTAAAAGTGCTTGACCAATCTCTAAAATTAGAATAATGTCGGGATTATTATACTAAAGTACTTTATGATCTAAATTTTAACATATGCGTTTACACCATATTATCCATTTTTAGCATCATCCGATCAATCATATATCAATCATAGAACTTTGCGTTAATCAAAACGATTTTACTCACCAGCAGCCAACCTGAGTTGGTCTTCCATGGATTTTAAACTCCTTAAAAATGCAGCAAGGTTTGGACAATCGTCGCTTCCACAACAGCATTGAAGATTTACAGGTGACCTATGGGTAGGTGATGGAGAAAAAGTGGTATCCCACAATTGAGAACCAGGTTGAAGGTCAACTCGAGGTACACTGTTAGGGGATCGTGACGGAGTGGTAATTGAATTATCCTTGTCACAACAATTTTCCTTTGCTTCCTGTTCTTTTTGTGTAGATTCAAGTCGACGAGATAGATCGGTGGGATTTGGAACCATACCAGCCAGCTGTGAAGTTGTACCCTTCGGACTATGGTAATCCATTTTTCAGAATTTCAAAGTTCGAAAAAGTTAAAATTGGGGGTTTATTTTTAAAAAAATGGTTAAAGTAAGCTATTTTTGCGTTGGGTGCTTGGGTTTGCGGTAGACAGAGACACGTTGGATGTCGGTGAATCTATCACCCCAACGCTTAAAAAAAAAAAAAAATCTATTTCCTCCTTCGCAATAATTAGCCTCGTTGAATATGTAAGTTTAAACTAAAAGTTAATATTTCAACACTTTTTTGAACATATTCACTTTCCAGATTTGCTCGTGTAACCTTTGAAATGGCGCAAACATTATCAAAAAATTGAATTGTACAGATAGTCTTGTATCCTGTTTTTGCATGGGTATGGTCATATCTTTTAAACAATGCGGTCATCAAAGCTAATGTCGATTTGTCGATCATCTCTCGATTCCCCGCATACACATATAATGCTTCGTTCGTTATCGTAGAGTTATCTCCTTGAAAAGCTATCATTCATTCTGGGGTGAAAATTTAAACAAATTTGATTAATTATTAAGTTCGATGGACGCGCTCGGCCACTCCAGACTGCCATGCTTATCCCAAAAAATACTCAAACATGCAGGGTACAGCTGTTCTAATTGTAATTTTGGAAATGATCAATTTATTTTGATTATAAAGTTTTTTTTGTTTTGGATGATAGCGGATTGTAGAAATAGATTTCGCCGGATAGTGACCTATTCTTTCAAGATGTACATGTGAATCAATAAAAATGGATAAATAAATGGAATAATTGTATGAATAAATAAACATGAAAAGTTGAAGAATAGTTAATTTATAATAGAGTCTTTGTTTTCTTTTTATTATTGTCAATCTTGTGATAATAGCGGATTGTTTTTTTTCTATAGAATTCGATAATCAAATAACAACTATGCAGATAAAATTTTTGTAAAACATCAAATCAAATATTCAAAGCTTAATTAGGATTTTCATTTCATTTTAGTTTATACTATAATATATTATGTAATACATATAAATAGATTTTAGTTTACATCATACTGACAGCTCAAAATCCGTTTAACGATAAATATTTCTTTAGTAATTCATTTCTTAATAAAGAGAACTTTCTGGTGAGTTGGAGAATCATTTTTTGTGGCTCGGCCCAGTCCGCTTTAATCAGTTACATTCTTACCGGCTCGGTCCGGCCCACTTTACAGCTGTTTTTATATTGCCGAATAATTTATTGGTAATCCGATTATGTTAGTGATTTCGGCATGATCGGTATATAAAAGTTGCTTTTGTATCACATGTGACACATATTCTACAGATAGTTAGAATGTTAAACATGCTCAATATTAAATTTTCGCCCGAATGCATATCTAACAATGTTAGATGTGTTTAGTTTGTATGAAAATTTATGTTAAGAACAACTGTTTCTTGTCAACCAATAACCTAGCAAGGAACATTAAAAAGGCTTTGGATATTCCATAATATGCATATTACACGAATTGTGCAAATATTTAAAAAAAAAAATAGATATTGATGTTTGTATATATATATCGATATATAATTGATATACAACCCTTCAAATTTTCATAAGACTAATTTTACGTCTAAACAAAGTTCCATCACTAATTGTAACTCATATAAGATATCTTATATCGTTAAGTCGTTAAGGTTTAGTAAACGCGCTTTCCTACAAGTGATGGGAATTTTCAATATGTCCATATCTTTGAGAACCAGGTCTACAAATATCTAAGTGTTTAACAATTTTCGAACTGATGAATCTTCTAAATTTTTTTCAATTATGTATTTGCCAATGAAGATGCTTTAAAGTATCGTATTTCAGAGTTATATACAATATTTGCTAGATCTTAATTATATATCAATTTGAATATATATATTATATATACCGAAATCACTAAAATCTTTATCGGGTGTCAGAAATTATAAAAACAGCTATAATAATTACAGATTCTCGTTAATATCATCCAACCTAAACTATAAAATGAATTTCTATTAAAATTATATCAAAACGGATCATCTAGGTTACGTCGCTGCACTTTTGGGAGCCGCCCTAGGTATTTAGACTGCATTACCAAAATTTTAAATTTGGCCGAAAATTAATTTCTCAAATTTTTACTAAAAAAAATTAAATTAGACCCGCTTCGGTAAAATTGGTTAGTAAAATTGGTCCAGGAATATTTTTTACTTAATGGATGACGGTGGTTTCGTTAGCTTTAATACATAGAATTTTGGTTTGGCTGTGCCAAAAGTCACGTTACTGCACTTTTGGGCTTTACCTCATATATATCAACTTTAAATATATATATTGTATAGTTCCAAAATTAAGCACCCTTTTTTAACTCATACAAGGAAATCCTGGTCGGAGTGCA